GTTTTGTTGTTTTTCATCTCGGCGCAGCTACGGGAAATTTTCTGGTGTGTTTTCTTGGAGGGGGGGAGAAAGTGCTTTGCACTATTTCTTTCCTTGGCGTTTTCTCGAGTTTCTTCTTGACTTTGTCAGGACGCGCCAGCACGACGGACGATCGCGATCACACCGACAAGATCAACGGCCTCTGCTACATCGCAATTGAATTTTGCCTCAGCAGGTTCCCTCCAATTTTGCGTCAGTCTTCGACCGTCAGAACTACACCTGCTCGATCTACGACCCACAATCCAACTTCCAAATCACTTTGGGCCAGTTCATCGTCGACAGTCAGATCGAAATCGACCTTCATCGACGGCCTACATTCCAACCTTTTCCTACCTTTTAGCGAGGCCATCCCGAGGGCCACGCGACCAACTGGTTCGGCCTACAATTTCGCATCCAAACCTCACCGAGTCGCCTCCGCACCAATCGCGACCTTTCACGGTCCATCCATCCCACACCTCCTCGCCTAGCCAGGACTTCCCCTATTTAGGCCTCGCTACTTCATTGTTTCGTCATTCTGTAATTTCATTCTCGTTATTCGATATTCTGCGCACTCTGACAAGTTCATTCATAACACTGTTCAACATCGGCAAGGGCGCGGTATTCAGCCGCGCCCTGCAGGGCGGTTTCGTGTCCTGTGGATGCTGCCTCCTGCTGTCGATTCGACTCTTGAACTGCCACGCGGGTCGCAACCGCTGTGCTCGGTTGCGCCCCGTTGACTCGCCACCAGGGTCAAAACCCTCGCTATGGCGAGCTTCGCTTCTGCACTTCGAACAGTGCAGTACAATAACATTTTTCATAAAACCAAATTCTCAACATGCAGGTTATGAGCTGGCGAAACAGGCTGTCAGAACTAGGGAGCAGGAATGAATGAACTATGAAAGAGTTCTGGTACAAAAGCTAACCCTAAAGAGGTTGTACCCCATATTGGCTACCCCACTACAGCCTACAAACATCATTATAGTTTGACACACCCCCATAGGCAAAATTGGGGAATACAAGAAGTACAGAGAAGCAACGCAAGCTCAGGGTGGATCACAAAAACAGCCAACACTCTGAGCGCAAGCAAATGGCTACAAGGCCAGTTCATATGCAGGGTTACACAAAATAGAGCGAACAGTGCAGTGATCACAACCTATCAGGTGCAAACATGCAAATTTATATATAGAGCACAGTACAAGCAAAGCCATGCAATAAACAAGTGAGCAAACGTAGGCACAATGCATAAAGCAATACAGAAACACTGATAATCACGAGGCGGAAGCGCCTTGGTGAATATATCAGCTGTGTTGGCCCTGGTGGGCACGTACGCGACACGAAGCTGACCACGCTGCTGCAACTCTCGAGCAAGGAAGTAACACAGAGCGATGTGCTTCGTTCTGTGCTCCAGTCTGTGCTCCTGACACAAGGCAATAGCGGCCTTGTTGTCTACGTACAGAACTGGAGGAGAACTAGGCCGCTCTCCCAGGTCGGTTAGCACATAGGTAAGCCAGCGTAACTCCCATACAGCTAAGACTCCCACATAGATCTCAGCCTCACAACAAGAGTTGAGAACAGAAGACGAGCGAGTAGAACGCCAAGAAACAGAGCCAGAGCCAAGGCTGAAGGTGTAACCCTGTGACGACCGCTGTATAGCCAGGTTGTCAACCCAAGAGGCATCTGAGTGTCCAGTGAGGACAACTGGACCCTGTCCTCCAAGCACGAGCCCCATGCTTGATGTACTGCACAAGTAGCGTGACACCTTCTTAGCAGCCTCCCAGTGCTCTCGCCGGTGTCTCCCGGGCGCAACGTAGCGAGCCAGGATGCTAAGAGGGTATGCAAGGTCAGGTCAAGTGCAGGTCATCGGGTACATGAGGCAGCGCACAAGCTCTGGATATGGGCCACCCGGCTCTACGGACTCGTCCGAAGGTGGAGCTGAGAGCGAGTGACCGGTAGGCAGAGGAGTGGACTGTGGCAAGGAGAACTGGAAGCCGAAGCGCTAAAGGACCTGCTGCACCATGTGTGACTGAGTAAGGGTGATGGTGTGCCGTGCTCTGTCCCGTGTACTTTGCAAGCCAAGATAGTTGCGCAGCTCACCGAGCTCCATGCATGTGTGTCTCTTCTGCAGCTTCGACTTCACAAGGGCCAGTGCCTCAGTGTCAGCAGTGGCAAAGACCAAGTCGTCGACATACACGAGGATATAGAATGGCGGCAGCGAAGTGTCTATGCGCAGAAACAACGATGGGTCTGCAATCGAAGGAGCAAACCCAAGAGCCGCAAGTGTAGTCCTCAGTGTGTCGTGCCACTCACGAGGTGCCTGGCGGAGACCGTAGACTGGCCGCCAGAGGCTCCACTAGGTAACAAGAGGGAACGACCCAGTGAAGCCTGGTGGGCGGCGCAGCCAGATCTCCTCGTGCAGGCTGCCCTGTAAGAACGCTGTGCTGAATTCAAGAGAGTGAAGCTCGTAGTCACGCTGAGCGGCAACGTGCAGCAGCAACCGAAGAGTGGTCATCTTCGGGGTAGGGGAGAAGGTCTGAAAGAAGTCAACTCCCTGTCGCTGACTGAAGCCTCGTGCAACGTAATGAGCCTTGAAGACAGGCGGAGAACCCGGCGGCCGCTTCACCCTTAAAATCCACATGCCATCGACTATGTTCGCCCCAGGAGGGGGAACCTCGTCAATGTAGGTGCCTGTGAACTTCCAGGATGCCATCTCCGTGGCTGTCTCCCACTTAAAAGAGTAGGGACCCGAGATTGCCTCTGCGTAAGAGCGCGGGGTCGGGATGTCCAGTGCATCCGGGTCTTCCTTAGGTGCAAGCAGCCAGGCCACAAGATGAGGTACAGCAGCCGCAAGACACTCAAAGTCCTCTTGCCTGTCCTCAAGGACGTCCGTGCCAAGAGCACACTCATCCCCGACGGACGGAGGACAGACAGACTCCGACTCAGCAACAAGACTGGTGGCATAGTCGAGACGACACGCAACAACAAAGTCTTCAAGCTCAGCAACAGTGGACTCAAAAAACGGGTCAGTGACAACACTAACCACCAGACGGGTGACAGTGGGACTTGCAGTACGAACCAAGTCAGACTCAGGGTCCGAGACGTCAGGAAGAGAGGACGCAGGAGGAGACGGCGGAGGGACACGGTGTGGAATAGAGGAAGGACGAAGTGCCATAGTGTGCGTGCCTGGGACAGAAGAAGGACGCGGATGAGGAACACGTCGTCCAGTGCGAACAGAGCGAACAAGCCAGGCAGGACAAGACGCAGGCTCACGACGCTCTGTAAGCGAGTCTGTCTGCTCAGGGTAAGGAGAAGGAGCAGGCAGCTGGGAGCCTGGCTGTAATGAGAGGCCAGTAGAAGAAAAAAGGCTAAGAACAGGACGGAGGCAGGCGGTGGTAGGGACGACGGTGACGGTGGAGCGAAGAACAGGCGTCGCTGAGTAGGACCACCAGCTCCAGTGCCCGCAGCACCAGCACCTACAGAACGAGTACCAATAGCTCCAGCACCTCCAGCAGCCCCTGAACCTCCAGCTCCAGTGCATCCCGCTCCCGGGTCACCAGCTCCAGCTCCACCATCTCCAGTGCCTCCAGCACCAGAGTCAGTAGCACTACCAGCTCCGGCAGCTCCAGTACCTCCAGTACGAGCACCTCCAGGATTAGCATCTCTAGCTACTCCGGTACCCCCACCTCCAGCGGCTCCAGCAGCAGTGTCTCCAGTGGCCGGGTCTCCAGCTCCAGTGCCTCCAGCTCTAGGGTCTCCACCTCCAGCGCCTCCATCTCCAGTGACTCCAGCTCCAGCATCTCCAGCGGCAGGGGCCCCAGGCCCAGGGTCACCAGCTCCAGTGCCTCCAGCTCCAGTGCCTCCAGCTCCAGCGTCTCCAGCGGCAGGGCCCCCAGGTCCAGGGTCTCCAGCTCCAGCGCCTCCAGCTCCAGTGCCGCCAGCTCCAACGTCTCTGGCGGCAGGGCCTCCTGCCGCAGCAGTGCCACTCCAAAGGCGGGTGCGCGGAGCGTACCACTTGCGCAGCTGCTTTGATGAGAGAGGCTCGCGCCGGTTAGAGCGCCACAGCGAGGCACTGGTAGGACCTCCAGGACCAGCATCTCTTGCGCCCCCAGCTCAGGTAGCGCCACTCCGAAGGCGGGTGCGCCAAGCGTACCACTCGCGCAGCTACTGTGGCGAGATAGGCGCGCGTCGGCTAGACCTCTGTGGAAAGGCACTGGGAAGACCTCCAGGACTAGTAGCTACAACACCCCTAGGCTTAGCACCCCCAGACCCAGCACCCCGAGATTCAGCACCCCCAGGCTCAGCACCCCCAGACTCAGCACCCCCAGACCCAGCACCCTTAGGCTCCGCACCCCTAGACTCAGCACCCCCAGGCTCCGCACCCGTAGGCTCAGCACCCCTCGGCTCCGCACTCGCAGGCACAGCACCCCCAGACGCAGCACCCCGAGTAGCACCACCCCCAGCAGCACCAGAGTCACCAGTGACCTCGACAGGCTCAACCAAGGGGAGCGGGTCTACCTGAGACACACCTGAAGGAGCAGGACCCTGAGGGAGGAGGGGATCTACTAGAGGGGAACCTGGAGCAAAGAAAAGCGGCGGGGGGGAAGAAGAGGGTCAATGCGGTAGGGGAAGAGACGGTAAGAAAGCCGACTCGCCAAATGTGACGTGCTGAGAGGGGAAGACACGGCGCGCAGTGGGGTGGTAAAACTGCCAGCCAGGCACGTCAGGGGGAAAACCAAGAAAGACACAGGGAATGGCACGCGAGGAGAGCTTGTCCGTGGAGGTATCGCGGACAAAGGCACGAGAGCCCCAGACCCGGAACACCGACGTATCGCCAGCCTTCCCTGTCCAACGCAGTGTGGGCGAGGTCTCCGGCAAGGAGATACGGGGCCAGAGGTTGAGCTGATGCGCAGCGTACCGGACCGGGAACGACCACAGAAAATGGGGAGCAGCCGCATGGATCATGGAGGTACGAGCCACCTCTATGACTAAGCCAATGCGAGGAGAGAGGAACGGACCTCAAGGGGAGTGGGGCGAGGGTTGAGGGCGGACCAGCGAGGAGGGGTGCCGGTGTTGCCACGGGCAAACCACTCATCACTGAGTGCCTTGAAGCACGTCTCAGTGGCATGGGTGGTTTGGCCGCAGCGCTGTCCCTGAGTGGGACCGTAGCGAGGCAGGTACTGACAGGGAGGAAAGGCAGCTGCCGTACCACGACCCGCACCACTGCTGCCAGCACCACCGCGACCTGCTGATCCCCCTCGTCCACCCCCACGCCCACCACCACGCCCACCCCCACGCCCACCGCCACGGCCACCCCGGCTGCTGCGCGACTGGGCTGCTGCGGCTGTGGAGGAAGAGTGGCGAAGGATCTCAGCTTCGGTGGTGATAATCCACTGAGCGACTTCAGCAGGGGTGTGGTGCTTGGAGATAAGCTGCATGTACGCAAGCTTGTGAGCGTCGAAGGCAGGTGTGAGGCCTTCGAGGAGGTGGCAGCAGATGACGGTGTCCGGGTACACCACATCGAGTGCTGCAAGGCGCCGAGAAAGGTCTAAGACACGGCGAGTGAAAGCAGCTGCACCAGAAGTGGAATCCATGGAGAGAGTTCCAAACTCCTTGATAAGGGCGTAAAGAGTGGCAACGTCCAGCCGATCGAAAAGGTCGACCAGCAGTCGCCACAGGTGGGAGGAGGTAGGTGAGAGCTCGCGTTTGAGGGAGGAGGGGATGGTGGCGAGAAGAATGGCAAGCGCGCGTCGATCAGCAACCCGCCAGGCAGTAATTTTCGTGGTGTAGTCTGCAAGTTCTACAGTGTAGGTGTCCAGGTCCTCCTGGTACTTGTTGTAGCGGGCAGCGGCGTCGTCATAGATGCGCCTGTTGTCCTCGTAACGCAATTGCAGGCGCAGGTGCTCTTGGAGATTGGTGCGGTATGTGCGAATGGCGGTTTCCGAGCTCTGCGGGTCGTTGACATTCAGCGCAAAGGTGGGAGGATCACCGGGGGGAGAGGGCTCGGCGCCAGGGTGGGCGGGGGCAGGTCCAGTAGGAGCGGTGGGGGCCACGGGCTGAAGTCCACCGCCTTCCTGAAAGACAACCGAGCGAAGGTTGTAGCCGCTGACCACAACAGAGGAAAGGAGCACCTCAACGGAATGGGCATACGAGTGCCAATTAGCAGCAGTGTTGTCAGGCAGCAACTCGAGTGCGTCAACAGTGGCAAGGTCGACGGAAGAATCGGACGACGATGCCATAGAGATGAGGGTGGGTAGAGGCTAGGGCAGGAGGAGGATGGTGCGAGGGTACCTTTGCCAGTGCTGCTGCTGGCCCTGCTGCCCGTGCCGCTGCTGGTTCTGCAGCTGGTGCCGCTGCGGATGCTGCTGCGGGTAGGATGGGAGGAGGAGGAAGGGAGGAGCGGAGGGTGGGGAAGGTGGAGGAGGAGGAGGGCGATGCTATGGGGGATGCAAGGGGGAAGAGTGCTGCTGGTGGTGCCGCTGCAGGTGCTGCTGCTGGTGCTGCTACAGGTAGGATGGGAGGAGGAGGACGGTGGAGGAGGAGGGCAATGCTATGGGGGAGGCAAGGGGGAAGGGTGCTGCTGGTGGTGCCGCTGCTGGTGCTGCTGCTGGTGCTGCTGCTGGTGCTGCTGCTGGTAGGATGGGAGGAGGAAGGGAGGAGCGGAGGGTGGGTTGGGTGGAGGAGGAGGAGGGCGATGCTATGGGGGAGGAAAGGGGGGAGGGTGCTGCTGGTCGTGCCGTTGAGATGCCGCTGATGATGCTGCTGCTGCGGGTACAATGGGAGGAGGAAGGGAGAGAGGGGAGGGGGGGGGGGGGGGGGGGGGGGGGGGGGGGGGGGACGAGGAGGGCAGCCGTGCGGCAGATCCGCGCGACTGGGAAGCCCGTGGCGAACGCACGCGGGACAGCCCGCGGCAAACGAGCGGGACGTGCAGAGATGGGCGTGAAATGGTCAGATTTCAGCGCGGGAGATGCAGGTCTGGTCGCGCGGAGTGCAGATCTGGTCGCGCAGAGTGCAGATTTGGGCGCGCGGAGGGCAGATCTGGGCGCGCGGAGGGCAGATCTGGGCGCGCGGAGGGCAGATCTGGTCGCGCGGAGGGCAGATCTGGGCGTGCGGAGGGCAGATCTGGGTGCGAAATGGTCAGATCTGGGCGCGGGAGGAGGAGATCTGGTGGCGCGGAATCCAGATCTGGGCGCGGAATGATCAGATCTAGGCGCGGGAGGAGTAGATCTGGTCGCAGGGAGTGCAGATCTGGGCGCTGGAGTTGCAGATCTGAGCGCGGGGAGTGCAGATCTGGGCGCTGGAGTTGCAGATCTGGACGTGCCTTGGAGGGCAGCGCCTTAGGGGGCGCACGGGGAGGTAGAACAGGGCCTAGAGGGCGCGTGAAGGGAGGGCAGCTCCGAGGCTGGGGCTAGATCTGAGGAACGGGGAGGAGAGGGTGGCCTAAGGACCGAGGGAAGAAGGCGTGAGCCATTAGCTCTGGATACCATGTTAGAAGAGAGAATTGATACACTGAATAATGAGCCAAAAGGCTCTTTAGTACAAGCAATGAGCAAGAGAGAGATGAGAGGGAAGCTTACCCTATTGGCCAATAAGTTGGCCAATGGGTGAGCTTGCTTGTGGCCCAAGCAACCACAAAATGTGTGTTGGTTGGGATTGGTTGAGGTAAGGACCAATCCCCACCAACCACAAAATGTGGTTGGAGGGTACACTAACCAACCCCCCAATTTATAAGACTGCTACACATCTAAGTCTAGCCTATGCATGTTGTATAAAATATGGTATTACAACACTGGCTTGTCAAAGCGATGCGCCGTAAACAGGGAGAGCAGCGGCTCTCGGCAGGCTCACCTCGAGCTGCAACGCTAAATCAGTGGCTAGGCTCGATGGTTTTTCGAACCGAGACCTGGCTCAGTATTTGATCAGGCCTACTTAGCTGGTCACGTGGTCACACACTTTTGTTAGGCAGAACCGACGCTCTGCAAAATGAGGACCGTTCACTAGTCCGAGTAGGGATGATTGGAGGAGGTAAGCAGGCTGGGAATAGAGAGGGTGAGGGGAGAAACGAAGTAGGAAGGGGTTTAGGAGGAGGCCAGAAGTGGTAGGGGGCGGGAAGAAATGGGGAAAGGCGGGAGGAGGAAGAGGTGGGCTGGAGAAACGACACGAGGTGTAGCTGTGCTGAGGGATGAAAGATGGAGTGGGGTGCCGATTCCCTGCAGCAAGTTGTCAAGATGGCATGATGTTGAGGACGTACAGAAAAGTGAGCTTGCTGAGGCTGCTGAGGGAGTTTAAAATCTGCCCTCCCAGCTTGTAGTTCCGGAGTTGCCTGTTTCATGGTGTGTCAGTGATGGTGTGTCAATGATAAAGTGTCGATGCTGGTGATCAAGGAGCATTGCTTTTAAAGAAAGACCATAATTGCAGCACGATGGAGGGCACCCTCTGCCAATCACCCCCTCTCTCCCATCCTCTCACTCCCATCCTCTCACTCCCATCCTCTCACCCCCATCCTCTCACTCCCATCCTCTGACTCCCATCCTGTCACTCCCATCCTCTCGCTCCCATCCTTTCGCTCGCATCCTCTACTCCCATCCTCTCACTCCCATCCTCTCACTCCCATCCTCTCGCTCCCATCCTCTCACTCTCATCCTCTCACTCCCATCGCCTCACAGGGCCACGATCATGCCGGAGGGGTCGCACGTGAGGCCCGTGGCACTGCTGCAGTCCGGACTCGCGCCACTCAACCCGGGGATGCTCTGCCCCCACGCCGCCTGGCACTCCTGCAGGAATTGCACTGCAACGAGTGACAGGGGGTGGGGGGCAGAGGGCCGAAGCAGGGGGTTGGAGGAGGGTGAGGTGGGTGGGATGGGGAGCGTGTGGAGAATATCCACAACGAACCTCATGGCTGACGTCAGCCTGAAAACGGCTCACGCTCAGCTATCGTCGTCCTGTATCACTCCAGCTCCTCGTGGGGCTCTCGCGCATCCCTCAACCCCTTTGCTCTCTCTGCCACACTCCACGCACGCAGTTCGAGTGGTTCCACTGTTCCACGGTCCACCTCTCCACTCCCTGCCACGCGGCGGTCATCACATTCTTGGCACGGAACGCGGCCTGTCTGGGGCGCGACAGCGGTGCGCGTTATGCGGGCATTCAATGCCAGAAAATTGTTGGCGTGCGACAGAGACTCGCTGAAATGGCAGACCCAGTGGATCATACGCCGAGGCACACAGCATTCCAAATGCAGCATGCGGAGGGCAAAATGCCACTCCCCCTCATTTCGGGCTTTAAACATGGGGCGTCACTGCACCAAGAATTATTAAATCCTGTCAAAATCATGCGGCAATCTCCTTGAGCGGCGGCACTCCACTGTTCAAAAATAGAGTTCGAAATTGAGATATACCTTGCAACGAGGTTCCCCCAAGGTGCCCAAGAACCCAAACGGAAACGTGTGGGCAACAACGACAGTTGCGAAGTTCAGAACATCATACACAGTTCGGAATCAGAAATCGACGAATCAAAAGGTAGAGATATTAGGCTGATCATTAGGTTTGAACTCTCGCCTTGCGTGGCTTCGAGCGGCACGGCGTTGACCATCACGGCGGGCACGACGAGGACGGCAAGCCACCATGCCAGTGCCAGCGCGCACAGGCGCTCACGCTCACGCGCCATCGACGCCGCGCGGCGCCGCCCGCTCCGAGTCGGGCCACACTCGCCGCCTCAGGCTCCGTCGCCTCCTCTCTCTCCCTCGCCCTTTCCCTCCCGAGTCACCGCGCAGAGCTGACACACCTGTCAGAGTGGGTCCCCGTTGTACCAAAACCCTGATGCGAGAAAAGCGGTGCAGCACTACGGGTGGGCATTCCTAGCTTGGGATTGACAGACAAACACATTCGGACGCTGGTGATGCTGTTTTTGTTGTCGGGAATGGTTTCCGGTTTTTACTGTGTTGTAACGTTGTGCACGGAAGTCTATCCTGAAACTCACTTGTAAACATTGACACGTTCTGTCAATGTCGGAGATTGTTCACTACTAAGTGTGGTGTGTGTGCCAATTGAATCTCTGCCACCTGGCAGATGCACTGGCAGATGCACAGATGAACTTTGCGCCAACCATGTTAGAGTGAGGATCTTGGATAGGATAGGAAAAGCCTCTAGGAGAGTTTGGTAGCGGAAGTCTTGGTAAGAACCTTGATCATAGTCAATGTAGATGACAAAGTTGATTAAAGGATAGAATACAAGCAAATAAATAGTCCTAACTAGCCATGTACTCTAAGGGGTACATTCCCTTATTATAACTGTTTTACAGGCAGTACTACAGTGACTCTGACTATTGCATTTCCCTTTTGTTACCGAGTCGCTGCTTGTAACCGTGCGTACGGTTACGCCTGTTGCCATTCCTCGATGGTGAGTCAATCGTCGGTCCAGATGGTCAACAGTCGCGACAGTTGACTTTTGCGCCTGTTGACCTTCCTGCCTTTGGTATAGGCTGATCCGACTTTTACTGCTCGCGCTGCTTCGATAGTGACTGGTGCGATGTAGCTGCACCTTCGGGAATGCTTAAGTGTATTCCCTTCATACTCCAACACTCCCCTTCATTCCTGGAGGTGTACCACGTGGCTTTTGCGAACGATTCCGCACAGGTTCGAGCAGTGCTGAAACTTCTGACGTGGCAGTTTTTTAGTCAGAAAGTCTGCTGCCATCTCGCCGGTTGGGCAGTAGGTGAGCTGGACCTTGCCCTTGTCGATTTCGTCCTTGACGAAGAAGTATCGCAGGGCGATGTGCTTGGTGCGGTTGACGAAGCCGGGCTTGTGTGCGATTTTGATCGCACTCTGGTTGTCGCAGAGTAACTTGAAGGACCCGTTCATCGCCGTTTTCGTTTCCTGTAGGAGTTCCGTGAGGTAGAGTCCTTCGCGAACTGCTGCGCTTGCTGCGATGAACTCTGCTTCTGCTGACGAGAGGGCGATGAGCTCCTGCTTCTGTGAGTTCCAGGAGATGGTTCCTGCAGGCTCAAGCTTGAAAATGAAGCCTGTGCGGGACCTTCTGTTTTCTGCGTCCCCCGCGTGATCTGCGTCGACGAAGCCAGTAAGCTGCAGGTTGGCTGTTAGATTTGCCTTGTAGGTGAGGCCGACGTCGGGCGTGGAGATGAAATACTGCAGGGCTCGACGTAGGTCTGCCATGTTCTCCCCTTCAGGTCGGCGCAGGTACTGGGCGAGCTGGCTGGCAATGTAGGAGAGATCCGGGCGGCATGT